CATTTATAAAAAACAATTTCTGATTGGTCGAACGATGTCGATCAACTCCAATCACAACCTGAGAAAAAATCCCAACTTTTTTTAACACCGTATGCCAAGGGTTTATGAGGAGAGTAGCGTATCAGAAACCCTTGGCTAGCGAAGATGGAAGTTCGTATGAAACTGTTACCCTAAAGAAATTCTCTCAACACCATGAACTAAATTCTAAATACATATCTGAGAGCACTTACTTGTTTCCAACAGTAAACAATATAATAGAAATAAGTGTGTGGAATGATTTTTTTTTCACTCATATAATAAATCCAAACAAAACGTGGTAAAATACAAATTTATTACTTCTTGATAAACTTAATTTGGGGAATACAATGTTCAATGACAAATTTTGATTTGAAGAAGGGTGTGGTGGGGGGGGGGCTGAATTTGGAGAAACGATTGGAGGAGGGGTGCAGGGTAACAGAGTAGTGAACCCATCCCCCTTTTTATGTAAGCTTCTACAAGAAATGATCATTCTTTTGAATAAATAAGTATTCAAATTGATCTTGAAAAATGGTATTGAAATTAATTTTTCAACATGCAGTCTACTTGCATTGGCAAATCCAGAAGGGGAGGAGAGTTGCTTGTCAACTCTGTTCGGAGGTTGCCCCCTTTGAAAACCATTGCTATGAGCTTGAAGTGCCTATGGTGCGATTCTATGCATGAGTGTTGGTGACACCGACCTGGAAACCCCCCTTTCAAAATTTGCTGGATCCCCCCTCCCAACGTGTTAAAATATAATATATAATGCATGTTATTCATATTAGGCTTAATATTAAATTATTGCTGGTTCACTGATTAACATTAAATTAATTAACATATTTTTTATCTCATTAAATTAAAATAAAATTAATTCAAATAACGATAACATTAATTCAATATTAAATGAAATAAATGCTTAAAGACTATTGGTTATTCTATAATGTTCAATATGAATTTTATGTGAAACTCAAAACATATGTTGAACATATGTTTGAAACAATCATATGTTTAAAATATGTTCAACATTTATTAAACATATAGTTACCTCAAACATGTGTTCAACATATGTTTTGAGTCTGCTATATGTTCAACACATATTTCAAACATATGTTCAACATATGCTTTAAACATATGTTCAACATACTGTCGAAAATTCATATGGTTAACATATGTTCAACGTATGGTCAAGATATGTTACTCGAAACATATGTTGAACATACGTTGCAATTTTACCTGTGTACTTCTGTCGCCTAGGCACAAGCGCAGTACAGCTCCTGAAACCTGTATTTTCTGTACATTAACATGACTCCATGGCGGAAGATGATAACAGTATTTCTCATCTGCTTGACTGCTTTTTATGTTAATTTCGGAATTGTAGCATCCTGAGAGATCCGTCCTACTGAAAAATTACAATGTTTCAAACCTCGAATCGAATTTTTCTTTCAATACTAACAATTAACCATTTTTAAAAATAAGCAATACCTCATTGTTCTGCCTTTTTGCCTGGTTTATATCCGCAGCGTTGTCCCTTTTCGGCTGTGTATTTCGACAAAACCAAAACAAGTGTGGTAAATGAGCAGAGTGCTTAGAAAAATACTCATCTTTAAGAGGTCAATTTAAAATTTTCAACTACATAGTACCAAATAAAGAAGCTCCATTAATTCAATTTGTAATTACCTATTATAGAATCTTATATTTGTTACATCGTACCATTTTTGGATAAATTCCCCGTTAAAACATCGACTTTGAAAACTTTGAAATGATTTTAAAAGACATGTATCCTTGACATGAGAAGTCAAATGCATCTCAGGGTTATTTTGTCGTACTTAGCTTAGATAATGTTAGCTTTATTTGTGCCACGTGAGCTTAAAAAGTACCCGGAGCTGTATATTGGTACACAAAACTGAAAAGATAGTAAAAATATACTCATTTAAAACTTTTAATGTAGTCATTTGACCAGAAATTTGATAATTGTCAAAGTTGTCATATTGTAGAATTTTATTTGATAATAAGAAATATGTCAGGAAGGACAGTATGGATCTTTAATTGGCCATGATATTGAATTCTTTTGTCACTAATTTGTAGCACACGACGAAATATTAATCATTTTCAATATATATTTATATTAATTTGTAAATTCTTTATTATCTTCATAAATACAGACACTTAATTCATTTTATTTATTCTTACAGGTAGCTCAACACAAAAGTGCACACACCAGTCACTATACGACAGTATGTATTCTTCATTTAAGACGCAGAATTTAACCATATTTTATGTTTAGCTTATTACTAATTTAATCAGTGAGATTTGTGACATATTGTTTTTTATATTAACGTAATGAAATGTTAATTTTCTTAATCTTTTAGCAACTTAAATATTTTAGATTTGGTAATGATTTCTAATTTTTGTAGCTGTCTCTTCTCCTCTTCTCAATTCATTGAAGATGGAACTAGCAGGCTAGTAACAATCAATATTTTGGTCAAAACATAACGCAGTTTATTCGTATACGTTTATCAAATATTCTAATAACATAATACAGTAGAGAAATCACGCTCTATTACATTTTATTATATTCTATTATATTTTTAGATTTCTGGTTAAATTCTACATACCTAGTATTAAAATATATGTGTGCAGTTGTTCGTTAATTAGACTGCTACAATCAAGAAAACTGTATTTCTTTTGTACTGTTGAATCGTATTATTCCCCACATTGATAAAAAGAGTTCCCTACTAACTGTCTTTCTGTGATGTTCAATAAATATATTCTAAAGTAATTATCCAGAGTACTTTATTACAGATGAAGCACGATGCACAGCGTTACTTGCAGGTAATATTCCATTGGTTATTAGAATTCAAAATATTACTCCTAAATGAGATTTATTGTTTATCTGATGTAAACCACCTTTCTTTTCATACATATTTTGAATGTATTTTTTAAATTAATGAATACTAAGACTATTGATGTTGTAATTTTTTGTAATAAGTGTCGTTTTTAAACCAAGATATTTTTACAGTCATTGTGATTTCCCTACAGAGTAAAAATGCTAATAATAACGACGAATTGTAATTAAAAAAAAAGAAACATTTCAAAGTACACATTTTTTGATACTTAAAATAAAGTCAGGAAAAAATGTTTCTTAATTGTCTCCTTCTTTAACCTCGAAGAAAATTGCATTGAAAGTTTTCATGTGTAATATTAAGTCCATTGTTTCTCTTTTAAAAAGTGGAATCTTGGAACACCTACCAGTGTCGTATCGAAAGTAAGAGGTTAAAGAAAAATATTCCGATAATTTGATTCTGATTGCTGGTTGCTTTACATGTTGTTCAAGTTCCAACAAAAGGGAAACTGATGATGTTTTGTATCGAATATTATTTTTACGTTCTTCCGTTCAGTTATGGAGAACTGAAAATGATATTAATCATGAAAATATGTTTATTGCGATGTACGTCATAGCAATCTCTAGCTATCTAATTTTCCTTAAATATTGCATCAGAAGAAGAAAACAAACAAATTAAAAAAAAATGTATATTTATTTTCTTAAAGAAAATTAGATAGAAAGAAAAAAAGTACAGAGAATATTTACAACAGACAAAATAATAATAAGAAATAATAATAATAAAAATAATAAAAACAATATAGAAAAACAAGAAATAGGAAGTGTTCACCTTTTGAATTTTTTGAATTTTATATGGCATTCATATATTTGTTTTTTTTTTTTTTAATTTTCTTTTCGCAGGGAAGAGGCGGAGAGCTTTATTTTTAAATCATCTTTTGTCAGCTTAGATTAACATTATACCGTAGCTGCTGATTTTCAGATCCTAGACTTAACATAAATTGTATCATACAATATCAAGGCAAAATTAAAGCTCTTATGTTAACTTTTATGAAATATTATCATACCAATATTATATTAGTCATTGTCAGGCTACTGTAACCTTTGAGTTCATTTTTTTTGCCAGCTCTTATCTTAGAAGTCACAAATAAGATTGACCTCATAGCTCAAATAATAGTTATCCTTATTGAATTGGTGTGTGAAATATATGGAGATAACGAACAGTTTTCAAGCTCAAAAGTCCAATAAACATTACAAAATAGGAGCAGAGCAAACACGGACCTCCAAATTATCAGAGGTGGGATCAGGTGCCATGGAGGAGTGAGCATCCCCTGCCGACCGGTCACACCCTCCGTGTGCTCCTTGTCATGATCGGTAAATGACGGAATGCAGTGTGTAAATAATGGCCCAACAATTAGTATGAGAAACGTCAGTCAGCATTTGACTCAATGATAAATTGTATTTGCTGACAAGGTCATTGTATCGACCATAGAACTTACGAAATGATGACTTTAAACGAGACTGCTGATATTCTTGTTTCAACAACTTGTTTGTCAATAATTTACCTCGTTTTAGAAATTGTACATACGTAAAGCATGCTCTTGCATATCGAATCAACTGAGAGATATAAACCCCGTATGCAGGTAATGAAGGTATATTGCTGCATAAGTAGGGGAAGTTGACGATTGAAAAGTTAAGTCATCACGTTTATCATAAAGCTTGGTTGTAAATCAATTCAAGTTAAAAGACATTGTAATGTTGACAAATCAGTTAGCTCAAAACTTTCGAAAATTATTGTTTTTTCAGACAAGTTTATAAAAAATGTTGGTCTATTTCCACGACACATCCAGATTTTAAAACCAAATTTTGCTTTTACATAAGGGTGATTTGATTTCAGGTAATATCTGATTGGTTCTAGTAAATGATTTTGAATTTAGATGTTATTCGTATGATACATCTTTTTTGACACAAATGACTTCACATAGAATATAATGCTTCACATTTGTACAATCCATACACTTTATGTTCTGATATTTATTTCATACAATTTTAAAATGTCTTTAAATGATCATTGTAAAAGGCTGGGCTTCTAAAGTTATTCGATAAATAATTAGTTTACATTTTGTAATAGATGACCCAACAACAACAGAGGCCCAGATTTCTACTACAATGGTCCAGACAGTGGAAAGTCAAGCAAAGACTACACCATCAACATCAGCAACAACTCAAACATTAACAGCATCCTCAGAATTATCAACAACAAATTTAATAACAACGTCAGCAATAATTACAACTTCTACTTTTGAAATGACGACGTCAATGAGAGATGAAACACAAACCTCATCAGAAGAGAGACCAACTAGTACAGTTACAAGTAAGTGTTTTTAAATTTTAAATTTGATACTCTTTATTAAATTGGAAATATTAAAAAAATATTATGATATTTCTCCCAAACGAAAGACCTTAATTTAATTTTTTTAATTTTTTTTGAGCAATTGTTTTTAAAATTGTGAACTGGATCAATCTAACATACTCAAGAATTAGATGCTTTATAATCTGGTATCAATCAAAGATAGATGCTCAAAAGAATTTGCTTGGGGTGTAGAATAATAATTTTGCTACAACAATCCATATAGAACTCCTCCATGCCACCTAATCCTACGTATACATCGGGTGATTCTAGGAAAACCTGTTTGCCCTGTTCTTAATTTTTATACATTCATTGTATAGTTTGGTTTAGAGCCTAACCACTTTTAGTTATCATATTTTAACCAAGCAGTTCCAGATGCCATTTTATGCAAGAAAAATTTTGCGTCTTTCAAAAGATCACATGAGTTCTTACTTGTATTTTATTTCTTGTTGTTAATTTCTTACTTGCGCACTGCTTTAATTATAATAATCTAAGTACTTAAACCTACATTTTAAATAAGTAACACAATCTATGCCCCTAAAATATGAATCTGAAAGTTTTCAGTTTTAATAATTTCCATCCCTTTAGAAACATTAGAAAAAGATAATTTATTTCGTGTAGGGATTGTTTATCGATATATACGGGATGATAGCGATTATTCACTTTAAGTTCCGTTACAGAAATCTTAGTATTTTCTTTCCTTGAGTACCAGCGTTTGTTTACTTTTGTATTGCATTACAGCGTTTGTAGCTATGTGCCCCTGTTCATGTGATTACATGGACAAAATCGAGTACTGGAGAAATGAAACAAACCAGATGAGACAGTACCATGAACTGAGTCAAAGGTTGGCTCAACTCAAACGCCTCCTCAGCGTGAACACAAAAAATCTCTCCTCAACTGTAAACAAGAAGATCAGCGCTGACGATGAGCGACCATCAGCCTCTGTAACAGGTTACGTGGGAGCTGCCTTTATAGCCCTAGTTCTTGGTGGAATAGTCCTGGCTGATGTTCCTGTGTTGATCCGACAGACTTGTAGACTTCTTAAAGACATCCGAAAACTGTGTGTTCGAAAATAAATTACACTGTTGTGTGGCATTTTGTATCAGTTACACTGGTCTCTATTTTTAAAATTTATTTTATGTGCAATGTACTTTCAAAGTTATTCTGAAAAGTTAAAGTACGCGAACACCAAATTCTTCCTAATCTATTTATGGGACTTACTTAATTCCCATCTCTATTTTTTTTTAAGTAAACAAAATATTTTTGGAGTATTTCATTTTTCTTTGGCTAATAAAGATAATATTGAATTAAACATCCAATGTTATTTTCAAGTTTTCAAAGTTTTCTTAACTGTATTATTATATGTGCACGAATTTATCTTTCTTTGACATAATATGTACATTTGTATAATAAAAATTGTTACAGGCCTTGTATAGGTCGATTTACAAAATATGTATATTGTATAAAACGAGCATCGTATATTCGGCATATCTTGACAACGTGAATTTCAAATGCTTGCATATTGTTAATTAGTATGGTGTACATGCTTTTAAAACATATATGAATATGTGTTCTTTGTTGTACTTGCAAAAGTTCAGGTTTCGTCAATTAATCAACATTTTTTATGGCAAAGATATGCATCTTCTCCTGTTAACAGGTACAATTGTTTCCGGTGAATTAAGCTTGAAATATTTCATTTGTATATTCAATATTCTTAATTTATCATCACTGTTATGGAAATTTGTTTTTTTTTTTTGTTTGTTTTTTTTTTTTTGTATTCATATAAAGCATAATTTTATTCAAAAACGTCTAAATGAAAAGAAGAAGTCTCCTGCTGTGGCCTTCAATTCGACATTTCGATATATCGACGACATTTTTATCGATTACAATATTCCTTTTCTTTCCTACGTTGATTCGATATATCTCTTTGAACTCAAAATAAAAGACACCACAGAGTCTGACACATCTGTTGCAAATACAATCTATCGTTAAGTTGAATGTTTACTGACGTTTTTCATACAAATTATCAGTGCATTATTTTCATACTGAATTGTCTACGATTTTTATTCTTTACCCGATCATGACAAGGACCACACGGCGGGTGTGACCGGTCGACAGGGGATGCTTATTCTTCCATGGCACCTGATCCCATTTCTTATGAATTTAGGGGTCCGTGTTTGCTCTACTCAAAATTTGAGCTTGGTTACTGTTCCTTATCTTCATATTTCATTTTTAAGTTTAGAAAATTGTTTCAGTGTAATGTTTGATGGTAAACGAAAGTAATTGAGTAAGGTAAAAAGTGTCATAGCAAAGTATAAAATGTAACAGTTATTTATGTATTTATATTCCACTAACACTTGAATATTGTGTTTATGCCTCCAAACTGATTCAATACCCAAGAACGATCAATTTTGAACCTAAGAAATGCTACTGAAAAATAAGTTGATATTACAAGAAATACAACAACCCCGTTTTGAGTTAGCATTTCGTAAATTCCATGGTCGTTATAATGACCTTGATTGCAAATACAACCTATCGTACTTTGAAATCTTTCATACCAGTTCTTAGGGTATTGTTTGTACTAAATTTAGCTATGGATAACTCCGTTTTACTGATCAATACATAAAGCTTACGGTAGGTGTGACCGGTCAACAGCTGACGCTTACTCCTCCTAGGCACCTGATCCCACCTCTGGTGTTTCCAGTAGTCCGTGTTAACATTTCGGAATTTTCCTTTTCAGGAAAGTCTCCATGAACTGTAGATTAAAACTTGTACAAATCATTCCATCAAGGTTGTAGGGCCAGAATATAGAGGGCCAAGAATATAAAGAGAAATTTAAATAGAGCTTATCAACAGGACCACAGTTAGTTGTGCAAAGATACTAATACATTCAGTTGGTGGAGATTCGTTTAGTTTTATTATATATCAGCAAAGCAGAAATTATTTTAACCACAGTAATTTAGCATGTTTTACCACCGATACGAATGATTGATTGATTGATGGTTGCTTAAATGACCATTCGAGAATTTTTCACTCATATAGAGACGTCACCGTATGCCAGTGAAGGGCTTCAAATTTAAACCTATAATCGGCACTCAGGGCCATTAAGCAGTGAGAGTTCTTGATCGTGCCAACGCTACCGTGAAATTGGACCTCCGCTTTTAAGGTCTCGTCCGGAAGGCCGGTGACTTTCGCTTCTAAAACCCGGCGCCTGGCGAAGGAACAATCCATACCTATGTTTATCTTAGGTTTGACTCGAGGAATCAAACCCCAGCCTCCCGATCACGAGGACTACCGATAGTAAAAACTGCTTTTAAGAAAGGGGTCACAATATAGGTTGCTTATAGACAAGTTGCTTATTGATTGATTCCAGTGATATCTTTGCTACGTTTCCTCTCGCAACGTAACAAAGTGACTACAGCTCTACCAAACTACAGAGGAATACTAAGAATTAAAGTAAATAAATTCACTTTAATTTTTCAACCTTTGTTTGTTCATTCAATTAACTAGTCCGGGGTACTCAAGATTTACATATCATTGCAACTGCTGTCAAACAAATTTTGTGATTTATATGTGTAAATAATATGAACAGAGTTAAAATTGTATACCAAGTATTACATTTAATGAAATCCGTGTGTATGTAAACTTTCGGATCATATAAATAGACCTACTACACAAGGTAGAAATAATTTTATGAAATATGTATATTTATAAAAATAAAGTTTTCCCAAAATTTCTAATATGGTTTGTGAAAATGTGGTATAAGATTTTCATTGTAAATATTTATGAATACATCACTTATTAAATAGAAAAAAGATGTATTAGTTTTGTTGATTTCTGTTATGCTATTCGATAACTTATTTACCTGAAATTCAGTTTGATTTCAGCAATGATGAAGTCAAATACTGCTTTCATTGATGTTCACAAAACTGAATTATGGCTTCAATTTTGGAAGAACACAGGAGATCATTTCACAAAAAAAAAAAAAAAAAAAAACAAACAAACAAACAAACAAACAATATGTAAATAAAAGACTGTGTATGGAGACGTTCAAAGTTAAAATGTAATCAGATTCTTTTTATTAATATTTATGACTGACAAGGATAACCTGCTATCTTCAAAAACAAACACACCAGCATTCATCTATTTTAGAAACTAGTTGTCAATTAATATACTTTATTTTTATAAAAAAATGAAAAATTTTCTAAATTGTTTTTTTTTTTTTTTGTCTTACAGCGTTTGCTTTACGGTGGATAACATATGTTATCAAGTATTTTATTTAATTTCTAAGCAATTCAGAAAGCAGATTTTTACCATAACCTTTTTGATTTTCCCCTTTTTGCTCAGCCTGCAGAAATTAAGTGTAATATTGGTTTGGGATGAATCATAGGATGATACTGAAAATCTTCTCTTTTTTGTGTACTTACAGAGAAAAGCAAATAATACATGTATATTCTTATCCAATATTTGGAAATCAATGTATTCATTAGGGAAGGCAATCGAATACAGAATTGCCAATCGTTACCTGCAAGACGTTCCGACCGATTAACCGTTTAATCTTAAAAACAATATACATTGTTTTTAGATATTTTTTCTATTCATGTACACAATTAACTGGAAAAGAAATTAGTAATATTTTGTTTCTGCTTGATCAGAATACTGTATATATTTCATTTCAATTTAAATAGGCAAAGAAAAAGAAAGAAAACCATGAATACGCCTGAGAGATGACAGTCATTAATTTAAATTAATCATCTTTTTTTTTTAGTCGCACAGTTTATGCTTCATTGTCACCATAATCAGAACCAAATCTGAACTATCACTTAATTTACAGTTTGTTTAATAATAAAATCTGATAGATATCTGGAAAGGATAGACAGGATTAGATACACATTATAATCAGTTCACTGTACTCAGTGGTGATTTAATTAATATCAATTAAGAAATACAGGACTGGCTTGGTATTGACAGGATGTTAAAATAGTAATTAACTCTTCACAAACGGACCAATTAACCCTTAATCTTAATCCAAAGAGGAATTATTAAATACATGTAGAAATCAATGATCAAAGATTTTCTGAAAATTGAATTTTATGGAAATTTTGTTCATATTTCAACATCTTACTTTTTTCGACTTTTCCAACCGACTACCATTGTTCCGATCCGACCGAGTAACCAGTTAACTGGTTACGAATTGCCATCCCAAGTATTCATTTATCATGGGAGTTTACAGTCTTTTTCGAGAATGCTAACCATGATTAAAATCTAAAAGCTAATATTTGTATATGCATGCATGAAAATAAATAAAAAATTATTCACATAATACTGTTTACTTTTTAAAATATTCTTTGAAAGAGATTGGATGTTTTAGTCTCTAGTGAATAATATCCATTTCGCTAGCTGCAGAACTGTAGCTCTCTGCTTGAGAAAATTCGGACAGACAAAGCAGAGAGCTACACATCCAAGCATTGTAAAAACCTTCGATTTACGCCGCCTCTTTTTTGTCGCTCGCTTCGGGTATTATTTCTTGTAATTAATGCTTTCCCCTGCTTTGAAGGTGGTATCCAATAGTTATCATATATTTTACTCCTATTCATGACACTTTATTTACCTTTCAACAGTTCCAGACGGCCGTAATATCAGTTTAAAAAATGCATTCCGACGTCGACGTTGGTGTCCTCCTGAAACAACACGCCCGAGTTTTATTTATCTCATTTCTTTTTTACATATATGTTGTATTCTAATCTTTATAGACAATATACATGATATTTAAACCTCCTGAAATTTTTATTTACATTTTCTTGACAAGTATATGTTCTTTGAATTACTTCTTTTCGCACAACCCCCAATAACATGGATATCGGAATGGGAATTTTTTTAACCGACATTTCAAAACCATAAAGAGCTGTTTGAGACCGTTGAAAGGTAGATAAAGCATCAGAAAAAGGAGTAAAATATATGGATAATTATTGGATACACTTTTAAAGCAGGGGAAAGCATTAAATACAAGAAATAATAGCCGAAGCGAGCGACAAAAAAGCGGCGGCGTAAATCGAAGGTTTTTACAACGCTTGGACCTGTAGCTCTCTGCTTTGTCTGTCCGAATTTTCTCAAGCAGAGAGCTACAGTTCTGCAGCTATCATTTCGCAAAATCTCAATACTCTATTTTTCAAATTTATCAGGA